TCCTTGGACAAGCCTGACATTGGCTGATAATCAAACTGGTTTCAGGATTTGCTATAGAATAGTCTTGGTTTCTTCAAAAGCCTGTCTCAAAAGAAGGTAGGGGAATGTGGCTCTAATAATTCTCAGCACCTTTTGATATAATCAACTATGACATTCTTCTTAATATGTTCTCTGGGCTTTTGAAAGGAGTTGCAAGCTGGATTCAGGCAATACAAGAAGCATGGTGGTTTTTAGCAATGTTGGTTTGTCATATTAACGAAACCCAGTCATGGTATTTTACATGGCATGTTCAGTCTTTACAAATCATGATAAGACACAACAATTTGTTTATGGCTCCCTTGTACCACCATGGCTAGTCATGTTGTCTAAACCCAAGATCATGGTTTACATGGTCCTGGATGCAATTAATGCAGAGTCCTTTGGAAAGAGTGGAAACTGCAGGAGCCACATTAGACATTCAACTTCTGTGTGTGGACCTATGAGGACAAAGGCAAGGAATGAGACTCTTTGGGATAGAATTTCAGGTACAGTGGCTGACGCAATACACGCTAACAGTGGGGAGACTGAGAATGATGGAAAACACGATAAAGTAGAAACCACCTGACTATCTGTCTGGTTGGTCATGGTAAAAAACTATGAACCATGGTAAGCAAACAGGGTTGCTTGTTGTGTTGTGTGAACATACCCAGTGTGTTCCAGTGGTTCTGTTCCTACTTGAACCCTACCTGACTCCACGTACACTTAGCAGACCACTGCTAGGCTCAGTGCCATTTGTGTTATGGGGTTCCACCCTGTCCACCCGCCCCCACCATGCGTTTCATCTTCTTTGTGAAAACTGCTGAATGAAAATCCTAGAATTGTCCACCTGTTTCAGGAGTGGTGACAAAAGAGCTCAGTTGGTGTCTGGGTTCAGTAATGAACTCAATTTTGATAAGACTGAGATATAATCTGTTGTATTTCAACTGCTCATGAAGGACTTTTCCTGAAGTATCAAACATAGTCTGGGAGTGCAAGTAGATTGCAGAGCTTTATCACTGGGGGTCTAAGTGGCATGGCGCACTTGAGGACAGCAGCGGTAGCCCTTTCAAGAAAGAAATAGCCTGGCTAGGATTACTGATACTCTGCTAACCTCCAAGTTTGGCTACTATAATGCACATGTGAGGGACTGTTATCTATAGTCTGCCTGGTAATGAATGTTAATCCAAAGTACAGCACCAGCCTGGTAAGAGGAACCTGTCACTGAAAGCCTGTGTCATCAGTGACAGGGCTCCAATGGCTCCCAGTCCATTTCTAAGAAGAAAAAAATAAAGAGCTGGTGCCAAACTGCAAACCTTACATGGTTAAACAGACATGTTTGTGCACAACACAATTTTTCTCTAGAGTTCAGCTGAATCTGAAATGAGGTAGGGAGGAACTGAGGAAGTCTTCTCAACTGTGGCACCCCTTTTATAGCACGCTTTCCACATGCTGGCTTTAATGTCTACTACTTGGTCTGTTCAGCATAAGGCAAAAACCTTTCAAAAGGCTAATGAAAAGAAATTCCTCACTGTGATGTTCCAGGAGGAGTTGGTGGATAATTTTTTTCATGAAGGGCCAGTCACTGACTCTCAGCCTAATCTGCTTCACATGATGGTTGTGGGGATAATGTGGAAAACCCAGTACACCATCCCCTTGGAGAACAAGACAGATTATAAATGGCACAAATATATAAACTGGTGCTTGATGACTACTGCTCTAGTATTATAAGCCAGCTGGAAAACTATCTGTATTGTGGGGTGAAATGTGTTCATAAAATAAAGTTCTAATGGAATTATTATCTTAAGTCCTGTCAATCAGAATTCCAAGATTACATTCTCCAAGATCAGGCCAAAGGCTTCTCTAGGCCAGCATCCTGCTTTCCTCCATGGTCAACCAGATACCTCTGGGAAGCCCACAAGCAGGATATGATGGAGACAATAGCCCTTACCTGTGGCAGTTACACCACAGCTGATATTTAGAGGCACACTGATATTCACAACTTGTAGACTCACTCATATTCCTCTAAGGTATTCACATACCTGGCAGATTGATATAAAATGAAATAAGAACACATCATGAAAACCTTAAGGCACTGGTATGTCCACAATTCCAAGATTAACTGGGACTCTGCGTATATGGCAAGTATACCAATATCTAGGGCACTTTCTTTGCTACCAACCACCAATACCTCAGATTCCTTTCCATCTTCTCCTCTGTTTATAGTTAGGAGAGAATCATATTCATGGTATCATGTCAAATAATCATTTGTTATAAATGATTATCAATCATTATATTCAGTGCTGCCTGACTGGGCTTTATCTGAACTCAAATCATTTGTACGACATATGCAAAATACATCATTTATTTGATTCACCATGAAATTGCAGAAAGTGATGGAACAACTAGTCTTTGATAGACACTAAAATGTAGTTTATGATGGCTACCAAGACAGGTCAAGGAGTAACGACACAAGCAAAAGAACAGTGAGTGACATGCATGGGTCAACTTGATAGGGACAGGAATATTGGTAGAGCTTGGCTTTACTGCTTCAATATTTCTTAGCCAGCTGATTTCTAGAGGTGTACAACCTAATTTGTCTTTCCTATCCTAAAGTTTAAAGCAGAATTCTCAAATTGTGCAGCCCAAACCACAGATGGCCACACAATGGCTGGATTCCAACAATAGGACAACATGGAAGTTTTCTACCACTGTTGGTGTCTTGTTTTGTCTGAACTCAGTCACGGTATTTCACTTTTGTAAGTTTGATTTTTAGAAACTGGTATAAGAAACAGTGGTTTGTCCCATGGCTTCTCTGTACCATTGATGGAGAAACCCTGTATCATGGTTTCCACATTCCTGGTATGCAACTACCACAGAGTCCTCTGGAAAAAGTAACAACTGGAGGAGGAGAAGTTATTCCAGTCATCCAAACTCTGTTTGTCGATCTATGAGAAAGAGGCAGTCAACACAGGTGGAGTGGCTGATGGGATATATGCCAATACTAGGGAGACCGAGTAGGGAGAATGGAAACCACACTGAAGCAGAAACCACTTGAGTGTATGGGCAGATTCACACATGAGACAAGCTATGATGGAAACCACTGTGGCATGGCTGGTTACATGTGAACCCAGCAAAGCATGGTATGAATGATCTCCATGGAATCACACAGAGAAACAATGATTTGTTATATAATTTCCAAGCATCACCCTGGCTTATCTGAACATCTGAACCCAGTTTCCATGATCCTGCAAGTGAGTTTCACAGCAATGGCAGCCATGGCTGTAGCAGCTGTTCCAGCCTGCATTCTCTACTATCCAGCTCTGTCTAGCAACTGCTGAGAGGGTTGCAGCAATGCTGTGATGGCTGTTCCACCCTCCCTTTTTTCTCTGTCTGAACACTGCCTTTTTAATGCCCACCTACAGTTATGGAATCTCAGTGGCAGTGGAGCATCACACCACACCGCTTCCAGCAGCACCAAGCCTGGAAAAGATCGTGCTTGGCACACCTACCTGGTTGCTGAAATTTACTTGAGTAGTTCTTTGAAATTATTGTGCCTTTGCTCTACTCTTAGTGCCTGTGTTCTTCTCTTGTAAAAGCTGCCCTACAAAAGAGGGGCATACAGGTTGTGCATAGTCATGGCCAACAGGGCACTTGCTCTGAAAAGCTCCACTCTGTCTTCTGCCCTCTGCTCTGCTCCTACCTTCATAACATTCCTCAGAACTGTCAAGCCCCACGCACTCTGTTTTTTCCTAATCCCACTCACAGCTGTGGGACAAGAACATTCCCACCAGCCAGCTGAGAAACTTTTGCAGGCAGATGCACACACTTGGTCCCTTGAGAAATTCTTCCCAGCAGGACATGCTGCCTCTGTCCATGGCACAGGCACCTGCGTTGATGCCCTCCATGTGCAAGGCTGCAGTGGGGAGGCAGCGTGTGAAAGTTCTGTGCATGGAAGAGTGTGGACACATTTGTTGTCCCAGGGGCCAGAGGTAGGAGTGTGGGTGGGTATGCTTGCACTGAGCAAGGTAGCACAGAGGAGTGCTACTCTAGTACTAGTCTAGAACAATAGAGTGACTAAGCAATGCCTAACCCAATGACTAAGCAGTTGCTTTTTCTAAGTAGCAAAATAAATAAGACAACAGTGACAAGATCAGCTGGCTGAGGTCACACCAAAGGCAGCATGTGGACCAATGAAGGAGTGGCAGGAGATGCAGGCTGAAGCAGTGCATCTTGGGATTGATTTTCAGTCACAGGGACTGATGGGATACCAGCTACCACTAGGAGGAAAAATGGAAAAGCATGGAAACCATGTGACAGTCTGAACCCAGGATCCAAGGTAAGTAACCATGTCACATGGTAACCACATGGCATTTAAACCATGGCATGGTTTAACATTGTATGTGAGTGTAGCCTCTGTTGGGAAGATGATGGTGAAAACCATGAACCATGAACCATGGTAACCATGCAGGGTTGCTTGTTGTTTTGACTGAATGCAGCCAATGCATTTCTACTATTTCTCTTCCTGGGTGTTGTCTACTTTACCTAAACTAAAAGTATGCCACATACTTAAATTCTATTCTCATTAGCATTATAAATTAAAAATGCAAACTTGTTCATTTTCAACTGCTGATGTGATACTCTTGTATCTTCTGCTGTACAGTGGGAAAGCTGGACTTGAAAGGTGGACTTAGCTTTACATTGCTTTTTGAAAGCTTTGCATAATGCACCCTGATTGTATGATGTCTGCATTCTTAACACATAATTTAAATCGTTTATTGGCAACCAAATGCAGTACAGAACTGTTAAGCATAGTATGCTACTAACAAAAGCCAATCTAGGAGAAGTGGAAACAGTTAAATATGCAGTCCTAGCTTTATACAACAGCCAACAGCCCACTATTTCTGGCATGATAAAATTAATCGATTATTGGTTTTTCAATAGCAAGGGTGAAGGGTACACTGCAGCCATCAAGCATTGCTTACCAACATATTCGGAGAGAAATACAACAAAGAATGGAGTGACCAGGTCATTAATCCCTTGCACGTAGCCACTGGCTGGGTGTCGGATGGCCCAGATAAACAGGATTCGCTCAAAGATCTAGGAAGGAAGAAGGAAAGCCATGTGCCAGAGTTAGTCATGCCCAGGGGAAGATAAGAGAAATAGAAAGTCTTACAAGCACAGGGGCAGAAAAGTGTGTGGTAAGGGTTAGAAATGTGCACAGGCAAAGGATACAACCAGGTTTGAGGATCTTAGCAACTCAGACACTCAGCATGAAGTAGCACCTTGAACAAGAACCAGGACAAGTTGCTGAGCATAGGAATGGAAAGTCAACATTATCAGAAGGGGCTCAAATTAAGGGACTTCAAGACATTATGCTCCAGCTGGAAAGGTCTGCCATGGGTTAACCCCAAATTGCATATGGAAGACTTTAGCATGCAGAAATCATAGATTTATTCACAGCATCCAACTAGAACAGCTTTTAACTAACAGATCTTGGAGGTTCTAGAGATATTAGCATGCTTGTCTTTTACAAGTTCAAGGGTACAGTTAAATGCACTCTAGGTTGGCCTCCCCATCACTCATCCACCATTTTCTAAGTGGAGTATACAACTTTGTCCTTACAGGGAGGCCACCAGACATTTTTATGCCGTCTACAACTTCCCCAATACTACCAAATTAAAGGGCAAAATCATGGTAGCAAAACTCATAGCCATTTTGCTGGAAAGCAAAACACGTGAAGCGTGTTTCTACTTCTAAACCTGGTGAGTGCATCCTGTCATCCTGTTTTTCAGCAAAATTGTTCGAAGGGTGGCCATTGCTTGTAGATTCAGCAGTGGAAGGCTGCAGCCCCTCAACCCATGGGAGCTGCCCACCAGTGATATACAGGGAGGGTCCATTGCTTAGCAACAGAGCACATGCTTTGCATGCAGAAGGTCCCAAGTTCAATGCCTAGAGCATCTTGCTAAAGGGATCGGATCACAGGTGATGAGAAAGAGAACCTGGAGAACTTCCACCAGTCAGAGCAGATGATGCTAGGCTAGAATGACTAATAATCAGCTCTAATGCAGCTTTTTAAGTTCAACATACTGCATCCTTCCCTGTCGTATTAAGAAAGGCTTACCAACTCATGACCATGTTTTACCTCACAGATTATCAAAAGCCACTCACCTTCTGTGCTGGTGTCTCCTATTTAGTTTTGGTGCACACTCTGAAGACCTTACACAAAATGCCCTGTCACTGCAGCTTCATGGTAAGGGAGTAACATATGAGCCACTGGGCCATGCTACTATTTGGTAGTATTGCACAAAGACATGGCAGGATAAAAAATGGAGTACATAAGTAATTCCTGAGAAATCAGCATTGCCTATAGGATCATACACTGCTTCCCCCATGAGGCTCTGGTGAGAAAGTAGCTCCTCACATATGAATGGAGGACTCTGACTCACAAGCTTGAAATGCTTTCAGATAGTACCAGGGATAAATATTATTTCCACAGCCAAGAGGACTAGAAACATGCCATGCTAGGTCGAAGAAAACTGAAATCCTCATGAACCCAAGCTACTTTGTTAAATTTTACACAAAATTCTACATGGCAATCACAACACATGAGCAGGCTTCGCTTGAGCACACAGTTGGGCTGTTTGCTGAACCTCTTTACATTTTCATTCTCAATGATTTAAATCTGCAGGCAGTGGCAAAATGTCAGATCCAAAGCCTTGTTATTTAACAAAAAGTGCCAGAGGGTACTGCTAGTTACAGGAAATTCACTGGACTGTTACCAAAAAGGCACCTACCCCCCATAACTTGATAAATTCCTTGACAAACTTGCCTTTAAGGAGCCTGCATGGGTTCATTTTACAGACTTACTGGTCAGCAATAGTGTTCAACACAATTGCAACAGATAGTTCTCGTTAATCAAACTCTGAACATGACAGTTCACTACCACCTACATTAACAGCAGAGGGCTCTTGCTCTTAAGTCGATCAGTGCATTAACCCAGAATCTATACGCTATTGTGTGCTACTAAAAGAAAGGGGGCATGCGCCAGCAAAAAACCTACATATTAGCAGTGACAATGGCCTTCAGAAGAGGCATAGACTTAGTGATTTCAAAGCCAATGCCACAGGGACTTTGTTAGGTATTTATTTATGGGACTCACTGTGGGCTTCGGTGCTCCAGAAACCAGAAGATCCAAATCTAACTTTCAGAGGTGTTAAGGCCTGTGGTTTTAGGCAGTCCTTGCATTCATTACTATAAATTCCAGCACCCAATCAACCTGTGACTCTTAGATACAGCAAATCCCACCTCCTTGCTATGCACAAGAATGCTAGAATGGATTAAATCCACTCAGAATTGATACCTGCAGATCACACAGGTTCAGTCAGTAAATATTCAGTAGGATTAGGCTGACTGAAGATTTTTGAGCTAACACACAAAAGTCAGCTTTTGGTGATTAACTCCTACAATACAGTCTGGCCCAGCCAGAGACTCTAATTTGTCCCTGGCAAAGCTGCAAAGGCACTGTGTAGCATTAGACAAGTCACATGTCTGTTGTGAAACTTTATCTACAACTCTACAACAAAACACACAGGGCTCCTTTGCCATGAGCAGAAAATGGCTCTTAGCCCAACAGGTCACTCGAGTCTGTTAAGAGCTCCTAGGAAACACTGAACCAGATGCTACAGCGTACAGAGCACAACTATATATCCCACATGAACCTGCTGAAGTATTAACATTATCCTCAGAAGGCCTATTCTGAATCCTCTGCCACCAGTGGTTGACTGGAAATGGGATCTTCTTGGCCATGATGACCCAACTTTTCCCTGAAGAAAGGCTCAAATTTTAGTGCCAGGAAAAGAACTTTTTATTTGCAAAGGCTAGTTCTATTAGTTTTTTTCTTTATTTTAATTCTAGAATATTACCTGTTTCACTATGAGTGTTTGCTTCTTTAAATATATTTTTATGTTCTTTATAACGTACTCTGGGAATAGCTTTGAACAGAAGACATTACATGTCCTAAATAGAGTAGAAAATTACAGTGTCAAAGTTTTAGACCCTTGCAACTAACTATAAATATATTTCTGCAATTGTACAATTGTGAATTCTAAGTGGAAAGGTCTAAGGCAGTAAGCTCTGATCCTTGCTGGCTGAGTTCACACAACTCGACAACCCACCCTCATAATAAGCCACGGTGGGCTGGTTGTTTTGTGAACTATCCACAATGAGACAAACAGATGATAGAGCTCATCATTTTCATCCCTCTCTCCCCCTCCATCTCCTTTCCTCCTCCAGACAATATCCCAGCAGGGAGTACAAGGAGGAATGTCTTCTCTCTGCCAGCCACAACAGTGAACTGATTTCACAGTGTGCCTGTAACCAAACGAGTTCAACTTCCAGCTTCGTATTCAACAATGTACAAGGGACTGTTCACTGCCCTTTCACAGCAGGCATCCCCCTGCACATTGCTCAAGCTGAGGCTGGGAACTGAACACACTGCACTTCAGGACAGCAGCCCTATTGGTCCTACAGAGACCAAGCATAATAATAAGAACCTGCTGCCCTGCAAAAAGTGATCACGCCTACCTCCTAATTCAATGGGAACAGGATGAGGGCATGCCCAATCTACTTGTTGGTACCACCTCATTCACAGAGTAAAGCTGCTAAGCAGATCACTGCCTCCTGCCTCCCGAAGTCAACTCTCAGGCAGGATGCAGGGTTGCCCAATCTGCCAGTAGTGCCATCCTGAAGACAGGGATCCTGCCTCCCGACCATCTTTGCCAGCAGCTTGAGAGCAGACCTCTTTAGCCACAGTGCTGTGCCCCATTTAAAGGAGGTGTGGGCCCTGGCCATCCTTGCCAACAGCTTGAGAGGTGCATTCTCAAGCTGCTGGCAAGGATGGCTGCTTTAAGTTGCTGCAGGCTTCCTGGGCACTTTGGAGGCTGCTGTCAGTGGGAGCTGCTTGTCAAGACATTTTCACAGCTCTCACCAAGTGGCCCATTAGCTGTTCAGGCTGTTCACATTCATGTATCTGGCTGTTCACTCATGGTGGATCATGTTGTTCAGGTTCAGATGGTACGACAACCCACCACAGGTGACAACCACATGCACCAGAGGTGATTTGTTTGGGAAAAAATAACCCACCTTTGACAAAGCATCCCCTATTCATATGACATGACAACTCACCCATGATAACAAATAGGGGTGGGGTGCTATGTCATTCAAACCAAGTCACTGTCTTAGCCTTTCATTTGTTGCAGATTCATAATGTCCAGATATTATACAGAAGAAGCTGGATTTTTATTAGACTAGCATTAGATATTACAAGGGATGCAGCAGAAAAGAGCATCCCTGCATCTCTTCTTCCTCTCTCCCTTGCAGCATCAACAAATACTAGAGATGGCATACCATCATGTTACAGGATTCTGTAACACCCCCCCAACACACACACACACACACAAGTAGCAAAACAGAACACATTAATATCCTGTCATACAGCTTGTATTACTGGACATTACAAAGATGAGGGAGAAAGACATAGGACTGTTGATTCCTAGCAGCAGCCACACATCTGGTATGAGTCTTACAGGAAAGGTGGACAGTTCATGACAATTATGACAGTGCTGGTACTAAAGCAAGGTACTGTGCATGCTCCAACAAAGTAATCCCAATGGCAGACAATGGATATGCGAGTTTAGCTTGGGCACATAATCTGCATTTTCAAGATAGAATTTGGAGCTGTGTGGCATGAAAAGAAGATAATCCAGCTCACTACATATAAATCAACAGTGATTTTCTAGTCTGTCAGCACAGCAGAAAGCAGCTGACCATGGAAGAACAATAATATGCTTGAAAGGACAAAAAAAATCCTCAGGAAGACATTCTCAGCCACTGACACCAGCTGGTGAGTTGCACTGCGGAAAGTCTAGAAAGAAAAGCCTCTTCTCACCTCCTGGACTAATGGCTGCTGGAACAGCGGGATGAGGGGGTTTGTCCGTGGAATGTCTATATGGATCTGAAAGGTAATTTTTTAAAAGACATCAGAACATTAAGGACTGTCACCCACATCTGCCCAACAGCAATCAAAGAGGGGAAATTTCCATGGCTGAGTCAAAATAGCACTAGGACTGAAGACAGAGACATGAGATTGACTTTCACCGCAGCCAACCCCACACCACGAACTGCTTGTGTCTCCCAGTGAAACAGAGTAAATGCTTCAATATGGAGACCTGCATAAACATGCTGGCCTACCAGCAATTGCCCCTCCTACAGAACTTGCATTTAGAGTGCAAAGGGGATCATACGGAGTAACTTCAGGGCAACTTCAAGTGTCTGGATCATTTTCAAAGTATTTTCCTTCCAGAATCATTCTCCAGGCTAGAGAGGTACTCCATCTCTAGCCTGGAGAATCCCAAAATACTCCAGGATGCTTCATGACTGAAACTGCAGGCAACAGGAAGGAGGTGGCTGGGTACCTGCCGGTATGTATCTTGGTGGTGCTCCTCATTTCTAGAGTCGTAATACTGCTCAATGAAACCAAAATACTCCTCCCGTTTGCGCTGCAAGGTCAGTTTCCTTCGCTCCATGTTGGCAGGGAGATAACCCTGTTGAAGAAGAGATGCCCGTCAAGACAAGGGTATTTTTTTCTCTTCTATGTTCAATGTGTATTTTGTCCTATCCCAACCTCTTTTCCATTCTGATCGTAAATTCAAATTTAGTACCAATATTCTTACTAGGGTTGTAGGGTTCAATATGAGAAAAGCTGGAGTCTCCTTAGAATTGCACAGAAGGCAAACATTCAGCAAATGAAATATATTCTATAAAAGAACTGCTGTTGTAGAAGTTGCATCTACCAAAATCCCCCCTCACAGTCACTTTTTAAAGGCATTAGAGTCTACCTTGCATTTAAACTGGCTGTTCCTAACAATCATGCAAAGATTTTCTATGGAAGAGACTTTCTGGTGCCCTGACACATGATTGCCATGTTATCTTTCACTTTCTGCAGAGGCAGCCTTTTGGAATACAGCTTCATGCTACTTTCCCCAAGTCCAATTAGCATTATGGCATAGGCTATTCTTATTTCTCAATCTTGGTTTTTAGAACTATGTGTTCTAAAAACTCTACCACTTTACAAGATTAGGAATGACCCTCTCCAGTCTGAGGAAGCTGGGTCAAAAAAGTCCTGATGAACCCAAGCAGAAGCACAGGTGATTGCCAGGTTTTCTAGAGTTTTGTTATGCCTTTTGTGTACTTTTTCATTATGCAGGATGCAGGATGAAATACATGCTTCCCCAGCTTGCAAGATGCAGCACTCACTGATAAAAGTCGCCACGTCACAGGACGGACCTCTCTGGGGACACCAGGCCAGCTGCATTTCCTCAGTTCATCTGTAAATGGACAGTGGTTAGTTTCTTCTCATACACAAGCGTGGGCAGCATTTCTGCACTAGGAAGCAATGCAACTCCTCTCTGCCTGGCAGGTTCCAGAATCTAAGCCTCCAACGCTCTAAGGTGTTCACTTGGAATATATAGGTTTTAATTGTTTTTGTAATTATTGGTGTCTAATTCCATTTTATTAACATTTTTGTGACAATGTTTTCAAGCTATGCTACAAGCAGCAGTGAGCACTGTGGAAGGTGCTTCAGAAATATTTTCAACAGATGTAGAGTTTTACCTCTTTTTTATTTGGACCAGCCCTCCCAAAATGATGGCTCTCCAGATGTGCTGGATCAGGATATTTAAAGAGCTCACCTGTCATGTTTATCTGCCTATTCATTTGCTGCACTCAGCAGGAGATATCCTCTTGGTGCTGCCAAGAATACCAGAGGTCCAGTTCATGATAGCTCAGAAAAGGGTCTTAAGTACCATAGTGGTCACTCCCTGGAACTCCCTACCAGTACTAGTGTTGACCCTTCTCAGCTTTTGGCACCTACTGACAAGGTACTTGTTCCAATAGGCATTCCTTAGTTTTGTCTTTGGTAATATATGTTATTATGAACATATACTGGATTGTTTTATATATAACTTAGAAATTTCTTTTAATGCAACATTTATTAGATTATTATTGTGATTATTATTATTATTCCAACCATCACAATGCTAGCTAGAAATGATAGGCATTATAGTTCAGCAACAGGAGCTGCAGTTCAACCCTTCTTGAGGGCACCAGGCTGGGGAAGGCTGACTTAGACACAGCCTACAGTATTTCAGAAGCTTTCTAAAATGTAACTTGGCTACCACATCCTTTCTAGTCTTCCAGTTCTATTTAACTAGAACTATTGCTAAGAGGAGAAAGGTAGCAAAAGGTGAGTTCACCTTTCTCTACTGGTATCTCCAGCACCCCCAGGACCTTGCTGTTATCCCACCCTTGGACTTACCTAAATCTGTGTTGTGGCTGGAGAGAAGCTGCCGGAATTTCTCCAAACGAGTTTTCTCACGTACTGTCATGGGAGGAGCCCCTGAAGCATTTTGGTCAGAGATGCGAGCAACAAGTGGAATGATGGGTCGGAGTGGGAGTGATTGTTGTTTGTGGAGGGGATTGCGCACACAGGAATCCTCTACAAGAGTTTAAAGAGGTCCATCAGGCCATGAACATACTGGGCAGCAGCAAGTACTGCCTAGAACTTCCAGAATCCACTGTCTTCTTCATGCATCCAGAATTCCCAATTCCTGGTAGGTTTCCATGCCTTTAACACACACGTGGCAGGGAAAGTTGCTACAGTTGTAAATTCTCTCTCCCACCACTGGATGATGGCAGAAGCTTCACCTGCTGAACTTTTTCCTGTAATTTTCCTGAATATAATTTCAAGACTGGACAACATAAACCTGAAATCTGCTCAGCCACTCCTGCTAGGCAAGTTATTATTCAACAGTTCTGCTTCAATTGCACATATACAGAACAATGGGGAATTCCTACATTCCCCATGCAGGAATTCCTCACAATTAATGCAGCATTTTAGGACCTCCAGAATGATCAAGGCAATGTTTTAGGACAGGTAAAAAGTGACACTGAAGAATTCTGTTCTTTTTTAACCACACAAATGAATGCTGTGGTGAAGAAACAATGTTCACAATAGGCACCATTCAGCAATTTATAAACTATGTTTGTTGACTGAAGCCAAGGTCATCTAGCCTGTCTTCCAGCACAAAAAATGGTCACTTGCTCTTCTTCCACCATCTCCTCTTGTCCAATCCCTCCACTTTGTCCCGTGCTCATCCTTCTCTTTCCTTTTCTTGTTCCTCTAGAATGCTGAGGAATAAACTCAACAGCATATGGGAGGAAGCAAGAAACCTCAAAGGCAATTTACAGTCTCAAATTCCTTTACACCTCAGCACCAAGTGGCCAGCTAATTTTCAAAGGAGAAATGGAAGTGAGACAAGGGCACTGATGCCATCTGGTGGCAGTGGCTCTGCAACAAGGAAGCCAATTTCCCAAAGACAGACACCAGAGTTTGCTCTAGTCACTCCACTAGCACTGTCATGAAGAGGACGGGTCTTTGTATTAGCTGAACTTTGAACTGTTCTTGCATGCCTGTTCAACAGTACCTGCTCAAGGCTTTCTGTCAGTGATGGGAAATCTGTGGGTCCTCCAGATGTTTTTGCACTAGAATTTTGATCATTCCTGACCACTAGCCTGGCTGGATGGGGCTGAAGGAAGGTGGAAACAAACAACATCTAGAAGACTACAGGTTCTGCACCCTCAGTCACTTTCCTGCCCACCAAGGCCACACATTGATCCAAAATCCCCCTACTCAGACTGGTAGATATACCAAAAGGCCTGTATTCAGAGAAAGCTTGGCCCATTATCCCAAAAGTGGTACCCAAGGACAGTGCTCAGTAATAACCTACAGATGATGCAACTGATTGGCAGGGTCAACAAGTTCCCATCCCATGGAAACATAGGAGGCAAAGGAATATGACTTATAAAGTACATCTAGTTAACTTCGAAACTGGGCCAAGAAAAGCCAAGTCCCACCTGCTGAAGTAGAAGAATGCTACTGTGTTAGATCTACATGCTTAGATCAAGCATTCACCTAGTATAGCACTCTGCTATGAACAATGTCCACAAATGAGAATTACACAAATCAAGAAAATTTGCATATATCCACATTAATTTATTCTGCTCATGCTGAACACAGATGAAAAGAAATACTAAACAAGACTAGTTTTGCTGTACTGGAAATAAATCTGCACTTCTCAGTTACAATCCAAGATGTTCTTGGGATGTTTCATTCTCACTTGACTCCAATGTCTACAGAACTGTAGAACCTCCACAGCTATGACAAAATTGCAAACCCTAAAAAGCCCAGAGAATATAAAGAGCAGGAAGGTCCTTACCATGTGCTCTGGACAGCTGGGCCTCACTATTGGACTTGATGACTTTACAGTTGGTTGGTGCTTCACTCAGGGCTGACTGAGGCCATTCAGGTTTCACACGCAGCCTGCTGTGGTTCTCCAGAACTTGTGCAGCTGTGGCTTTTGCCACCTTAGAGTTCAAAGTCTGGAAAGATGAAAAATCCTCATCTTCATCATCCCCAATGTCCCAGGCATCACTGGTATCGCGCGCAAACTCATGAAAACTGCTGGCCTTCTTATTCTTCATGGGCAGTGCATTAACCTTGGAACGTTCCTTGATGAAGCTAAAAAAGAAAAGATACCCAGTGTTATTACCATTCTCCACATTATCTACCTCCGCATCTAGACTTCCCATGCCTGTAGTCAAATTTGCTCCCATTTTTCATTTTCCCGTTGGATCAAATCCTCCCCCACCATTTCTCCATCCCACTGGAAAATCCCTTGTTCTCCGGTCAGGGTGAAGAAAAGGAATGCACAAAATCCTTCCATGAAATCCCCACAAAGTACAAAGTTCAAAGACTGAACATGAGCTTTACAGTCTTGGCAAATAACAGGCCAAGCACTTCTGCCAAATACCTCTTTGATGAAAAAAGTTTGCCAGTCAGGCATACTGTATGGAAAACAAAGCAAGGAAAGTGACTAGATTTGTCTTAAGTGAGCACATATTCAATCTTAAATTATGGTGCAAACATATATGCATGTGACCTCAAGAGAATATTCCTTTGCGATCAGGTCACTCATATACTTAGAAGAAAGACACCATCCAGCCTACTGGCAGCTACTTTTTAGGTCTAAAATATGCTATTACTATCCTTGACTAATAGTAACTGAGATGTAGATGTTGGTGTACAGGTCAGCCCAGTGTATGATCCTTCAAGGAGTGCAGAAAATAATTGCTCCACCCCAAGCCACCATTTTCTTGCTCCTGTTAGTGGACCTTGGCATTTTAGTAACAAACTAGATCCTACAAGCCAAAGTCTGCCCTTCCCTTGGCTAAAAGACCAAAGCAGGTTAGAAGCAGCCCAAAGGAATTTCTTTTTCAAACAATACAGGAAGAAAGCTACATTGACTTCAGTAACATATCAGAATCAACTGTTGTGCAGGACAGTATGTAGTTGCAGTGTTTATGTACAAACTTTCAGTAGGCCTGCCTTCAAAGCTGTTCCACTTAAAACAGTTAAGCACAATCAAATATCTAAAAATCAGAATTAACACAAAAAATAGTATCTAATGAAACAGCAGCAGCATTCAGTTCAAAAACAAACATCAGCCTCAGAACTGGGCAAAAGAAAGAGGCAAAAGAAACTGCTACTCTGTCCTCATAGAGGAGTGTATTCCACAGTTCAGGAGCCACTGTTGAATAAGCTCTGCTCATGACTGACAATAAACTACATGTCTAAAAAAGATGTCACCTACAGCAGATGGCAGATGAAGTCTCTCTCTACAGCTTCCAAAGTACACACTCATGTGTGAGAGAGCATTCCTTAAAATGTTAAGTTCAAATAAGGGCTCAGTCTAGCATATTCCCATCACAGGTTTAACAGTCAAGATAGTGGCTGTAGTTCTTACTACATGTCCTTCAATTTCCTCCTAGCTGATGCTGAGGTGCAGATTTCCAGGTTGCCTTATTTTTAAATGCATCCTCTGTATTTTGTCTGGTAGTGGCCATGTTCAGAGACAAAGTTACTAGGGTGAAGAAGCATCAATATGAAGAATTATAGCTACTACACCAGAAAATAAAATCAAAATGCAAGATCATTATATTATAGCTATTTGTTGATTTCCAATAACGGTTAAATGTAAGGTGCAAAGCTTTGGCTTTCCCTAATCAAGTTTTGGATCTGCACCTAGAACAAATTGGGCAGCCTCTGAATCAGTCTAAGCAGAACTAAGCTGTTCTTTCCAAAGTGGGGTCCGTGTACACCATAGCACACATGCCAGGGTAGTGCTCTGCAGCCTGACTATACAAATCTTAAAGCCTAGAAAAAATTATTACATGGGGCATTTGATAAATTAGTGAATTAAATAAGTCCGTGTCCTCCTGAGCCTCACCTTTTCCCTGAAGAAATTTCTTTCAGAGACTAGCACAGAACTTTGACTCCAAAACCCACTGAACTCTTGGCATGATGCCTCAGTGAAGGCAGCCACTGTGATGGAAATGCTTGCCCAGAGTGACTCAACAGTGAGGCCATCATCTCACTATAAGTCCTCCCACTAGTGACCAATCATTTTTGGTGAAAGCAGCAAAAGCAGATTAACCTCCAACTCGTGCCTGAAGGAAAAATTATAATTTTATACACATAAACCTTCCATGCCTTTTAACAGAAACATCTGCTGGAGCAATAATTCCAAGTTGTATTTTTAAAAGTACTTCCTTAGAATTCTAGTTCTTGCAAAACACAAGAACATTTGCAATTGTCTCCAAAGAATATATTTTATTCCTGCATATCAGGTTCTATGTTTTGAGCCAACATATTTACTTCCAGGAATCAGTACAAAGTACTGACCTCACTTTTTCGTGTTGCCTTACCTTCTGTGATCTCTAACTGAAACTTAGGTCTTAAATAATACTATTCCACAAGAGAGCTAAATAACTGGACAGAACCCAAAAGCCTTCCTTCTAAAGAGGCAAAAGAAGTCTACTTACTTTTTTGTAAGCCGGGGATCCAGTGGAGGGTGCTGAGCACCATAGACAGGTTGAATGCTGCAGAGGAAACAAAAGACTCAAGTGATTTGTGAGTAAATGCTCTAGTCTCAGGCATGAGTATATCAAGGACCACACACAAATCACTTCAATAGCCCCAAGTGTTCAAAATGACACAGAACTGAAGGGCAATTCTTCTTAGAAGAAAACAGACACTTCCTTTAGTGCCACTACACATGATTGATAGGCTACTGGAACAAGTATATAGAATCAAAGAGAATAGAACTAGGATCAACCTAGCAGAGAGCTTTTTCAGTCCAACTCATAATATTGGGCAAAGGGGATTTTGGAAAATACGTATGCAATATAGTTTTTCTTATCCAGTATATATATCTTGACAGAGAAGTGGTGGCCATCGTACACACCCATTTTTGTCCCAGTTGGTTCAAGTGGGAATATAAATCACTTAGAAAAACCTTTAGCGGGATTTCTATCAAGAGAAAAATAGTTTGTAGACACTATTTGAAATTATTGACTGGGTAGATAGAAATGCACTAGTGTGAACCAGTTTCTTAATGTAATTCACTCTTGCTTAAGTAACCACTTTTTTCTAAACAGTATTACTTGCTCACCTCTCCTTTGAATGACTAACAGCACAACCCTATTCATGTTTACGCATAAGTAAGTCCAACTAAACTCAGTGAGACCTACTGCCAGGTAAGTGTGTATAAACCCTACAGCCTAAACAAACTAGTTGGATTACTTTCACAACAGTGAAGTCAGTAAAAAAAAAAAAAGGTCTCTAATTAATCACCACCACATTATTGCACTACAGTGTTGAGCAAGTGACTTTCTCATTTTTAGTAGTAATAGCATTGTAGAGGAGCTCAATTATGGCCAAAATTATCTCCAAGCCTTTAGAGTTTTGCAAGTGAGTTAATGCTAATCCTCTGTTAGTGGCATTTATTATCAGTAGCATTTTTGCAGTCATAACAATGACCAGTTGCATTGACATGCCAATTAAGTAGCATGTCTATCATGTATAAAGGGTCAAAATTACAAGCTGTGACAGATGTACAGTACCAACAAGCACACCTGGCAACCAACTAACTCAGCTATCAGACCTAGGACAGGAATCTCCATGCATCAACACATTCAAACATTAACCCCTTACAGATTAATTTGTATTATCCTGACCATAGTGTGCCACAAACAGAACACAGGAGCACATAATGCAGAAACTGCCTAGACATTTCAAGGCACAGTTCAACAGCCTTACAGTGCAAACAAATGAGCCAAGCTATTCGCTGCAGGAAAAAGAATCCACAAAACTGACAATCATAGTCTTCCTTCATAAGCTAAGAAAACACATGGGAAAGATTTACCATTTTGATAAGCAGCTCTTTGAGAGTGTTCATTGCCCTCTGCCCCCAATCAAAGTATCTCCTCTGCTCTTCCTCCTCCCCTCCTTGCAGACTTAATAGAGGCAAGTCCATATGACTACATATATGCCAAATGCTTTTTCTTCCAAGCTAGGCTTATACTGCAAAAGGGATGAATGGGTCATCAGAAGCATTTGTCACATGCACAAACTTTTCTAGCACAGGTTTAACAGTAACCTACAAAATTCCAAAATGTGAACATAACGGACAATTCAGACAAGTCAGAGAGAAGCAGGAAGGTGCATAACAGTTCAAAACCTGCTCCAGTCAGACTCTTACAGGGCCACCTACCATTTTCTGCCCCATGGAAAGGAGTGTCACTTTGAAAACAATGTTTATTATGATTTATTTATTTATTCATCCATTGCTGGTGGTACTTGTTGCCCATTTTGGAAGAATTTGTATTCTGAAAGGCAGGATACAAATAACTGTAACAAATAACAACTTATTCACAACAGGCACAACACAATGTGGTTGTAGGGGAGAAAGTGATGTGCAGAGTAACCTTATGAATGGGCCCTAAAGACTGACCAGTCTAACTTCAAGTTATATGTGCTCCACAAAAGGAGTAAGTGAGAAAGATATATAGCAGCCTGTTGATAAGATGCACAAACATTACTTTCCTTCCATGGACCTGAAATGTCACTTCAGATTATTGACTAGCAGACAGTTTATGCCAAAAGTAGAAGTTCACTGCTCAGGCTGAAGTTCAGTTTGGCTCATTTGTTTTCCACAAACCGGTTTACCTGGTTGAGTCAGGCTTACTGTTTAAAATAACTATAAATGGAAGTAACATGTTGCTTTATACTGTGAAGCAGAAACATAGATGCAAACAGGATGTGGCACTGAGATAAGAAATCTTGTACGTATCTTGTACGTATACTTGAAAATAAGCTGTTAGTCCATTTATAGAAATGTTTATCTTTTTCTTCTTGAGAATACATTACATGAAATGCATCTGCACTTTTCTCACACATCTGAATTATCCCAGCAATTTGGGGCCATTTCAGAGCAGGAGAGTCAGACTGCCACAGAGGCAGAAACAGAATTAACTAGCCTGGCAGGATTTAAAGCCAGCTAAGCATTCCAGAGGCCTTGCAGTGGTGAACTGAATTGGAGACTGCAAGGTCAAGATGAGGTTAGAGGACAGGTCAAGAATGTAAAATCTATAAGAACTACACTATCTATAAGAACTATCCGACATGTGTGTCCAGCCAGAGAGATTGCTTCTTTGTCTTCCCTCATTTTGTTCAGGGAAACATACTTCTGATCGTGTCAACAGGGATTAATTATTCTACTTTATGCGGGTTAAAGAACAGTGTATGATTTCCCCACATTTTCAAGTGAATGGGTGAGGAGAGGTACAGAATCAGGTTTCTTAACTGTAAACCAAGGGAAAAAAGTTATTCCAAAATAGTGAATGTTAACGTATAAAAGTATAATCTTGCTCATGTGTCAATGTGAGAAGGCTCTCAGTTGAAAAGCGTTTCCAGAATCTAGACTCTTTCCAACAGTGGCCCAAAGAAACTCAGGAGCCCTTTTATATCGTTAAATACCCCGTCCTTTACTGGGCAGAAAGAAAAGAGGGAGACCAGATCCTGCTCTTTGCCGCCAGTAATTCAGAAATTGTAAACTCCCACTCCTTTAGCTCTTGAAGGGTCTGATGCCACAACTGAAGAAGGAATTCTCTAATGGAAAACTAGGGTATCTACTTCAGTGTTTACAAAACCAGCTTTGCCTCCTGAAGTTCATGTCACTTTTCCCTTTGTAAGGGCAAAATGCTATCAATTACCGATTTACAAGGGGCCTAACTACTTCAATTGTTATCACTTAAAAGCATGACTGATTCTCTTTGCTAAGTGGCCTTGTCGTTATAATCAGAGTGTTGAACAATACGCCTTGACATAATGAGCACATACGGGCTTACGCCGATTAACCTATGCAAATGAAGGAGGGACTTTTCTTCCTGGGCAAAGTAGCAGTTCTATGCACCTGTCCAGAGCTGCGCTACTTTGGCAGACTCTTCAACACAGGTGGCCCAGGAAGCAGACACAACGGTGGCATCGGCAGCTCTAGTACTGTCCCCCGCTGCCACCCCACGGTGGGCTTAGGAACAGGGAAGCCGAGCGAATAGCCGCCCCACCGCGGCTTCGCCCGCCCAAGCTATGCGCCCGTGTCGTCTCCCCGGGTAGCGAAAGACTTGAGAGTGCAGATGCTGCTGACTAACGGAGCTGGAGGCAGGAAAGGAATCGTGTCATAACCCCAACCCAAGAAGGTCCCATTCCAATCGTTCCCCGGACCTCCTCCTCCTCCTCCTCCTCCCTCTAAAAAGGCGATAATTGGGGCCGCTAAGCGGCTTCAAGATGGGAGCCGTACGGTTTCGCGCGCCCTCGGAAATGAATGGCGGCGGAAACAATTTGCTAAACCGGCATCACTAATAACCACCCGCGTCGGTGCAGAATGACTGACTAGCCGGCATCTGCACCGGGTCGGAGACCGATCCTCTCACCTGCCCGGCAGCTTCGCGCTCCGCTTCCAGAACTGCTTGCTACTTTCCGCAGCCATGGCTGGGACGAGAGGCCTACTTCCCCGCCAGCTCCGGGAAAGAAGGGACGAACTGGAGCGGTGGGGCCCAAAGCCTCCGGCCGAGGCCGCTTCACCTACTCCCTCGAGGGGCCCCGTTGCCAGTCCCCAGCGCCGCCATCTTGGATTCGGGTGGGCACGGCCCATCCATTGGTTGCCCAACCGAGAGTCTCCAGTCTGACCAATCCAGAGTCACATAGCTAAAGCAACGTGAAGCCCCGAAGGGGAGGGGGCAAAACGAAGACTCAGAAGCCGCGCAAAGCGCGAGAGGCGGGGCAATCCATCCATTGCTACAGAGGGGCGGGGCGGAGGGGAGGGGAGCAGAGGGGCGGGGAGGGAGCTAGGAGGGCACGTGTAATTCGTGGAAGGGGAAGCGGGAAGGCGGTTTAACTGTCAAAACTAGATACGCGAATAGAAGCGCGAATAGAAAGCTCCGATAAAAACCAACGGCCCTGGGGAAAGGATGATCCCATCGAAGAAGGTTCCCCCTGGAGTGACCGGCTGACCCAGAAAATAAGTGGCTCCTTCTTTGTCTGCACGATCGCTTTCCGATGTAGGCAGATTTGAAATTGGCTCTGCCCCTGGCACGAGGCGTGAAGTTAACAGCTAAAAGCGTTCTGCAAGGTAGCTTTGCAACAAATACGTGAGCCAATGTTGAATTTGCTCAGACAGGAAGGAGCGCCAACCACTTGGGCGTGGGTAGCCTAAATTTGACCAAGACGAAAGATTATGGTGGCGGAGCAGATAGCATTAGAAACACTAATAAGGGGCCAAGAAGGGCATCGGGTCCAAGCCCCTGCTGATGCAGGATGCCAAGTCACACTGTCTTACTCAGATGACTGTCCAGTTTCACCTTGAATGTCTCTAGTGTAAGAGAGCCCATGGTTTCACTGTCCTTTTGCTCTGACAGGAAGTTTTTCCTGCAGTCTAGCCTGAATCTGGAGCAGAAGTGGCTATGATTGTTTTGTGATTGCCTATGTGACACACAGTCCCAAAAGCCCTTCAAAACTCTTGGCTATGATGTTTCCCATTAGCTGAGTGTTGAGAGATGCCCATTAAGACAAGTGTTCTGCCCACCCCCATACACTTTGCGCCATCTCCTTCCCCAGTTGTTTTTTCTTGTGTTGCTATTACTTTGGTGTACAAGAAGAAAAGGAAGGCTTGTCTAACTGCCAGAATGAAGAACTGGAAGGCCACTGTGGAATCCCTCCCTGGATGTATACCCCAATATATGACATCAGTTTCAGCGACCCACCGCATAAGTTGCTATTTTGTGTGTCAGACCGTTCCAGGGCTTAAACGAACCCATTTTTTGCTGAATGTGGTGTTAGTTCTCAGTGCAGAAGTGGTGTTAGGGGAAGCCATGTGGGTCTGGAGCCCCAGATCTCTGCGAGACCATCTGCCCCACCATCCTGTTCTACAAGGGTACTTGCTGAAAGAAAGGCACTTGCTGGGGAAAAAAAGGACCCTAATAATCTCTGCTGCATCCAATTCCCCTGAATTTGCTGCTTTTTGCCCACATGTGCTGCCCTCCTGCTGGCCCACTCTGAATCTGCTTGAGGTCTGAAATCATATGTCCTCTCCTTTTTACAAATCGGTTCTTCTTATTGAGACAGAGTGCTTTAAAGACACATTCACAACCTGACTGTATAAATTAGTTTATACAAATCTGTGTTTTAAGTAGGCCTGAGCCCTGAATCTTTTGGGTACCTAGCACCACCCCTGCACAACAGCATGATCCTATTTACTCAGAAGTGGTCTGAAGAGAGTTTAATAGAACTTAACTCCATACTAAGGATGCAGTCTTATGCATGTTTAGGCAGAAAAATGCCTAGAATTGTGCCAGGGGTCATAGGATTTTTTTCTGTCTATACGTACAAAGATGAAGTGTTTTTCTACACCATGTCTTCTTTTTCTTGTTCTTGCACATTTGGGCATTTTTACCTACAAGTCTCACTTTTGGGAGTGAAAAATGTTCTTGGATGTTGAAAAAAGCTTCAGTGGGTTGTGTGCAATCACTTCCATAGTGGATCCTCGCTCTTCTTAACTAATAAATGCCTATTTAGCAGGAAAGAAGCAGCCTGCTAGGTCAGGGACATGATTAATGCCTCCATGGAAGAGAAAGTGTTCCCGTGCCATCTGAAAGAGGCAGTGGTGAGACTGCTCCAGAAGAAACCCTATGTAAACCCAGAAGAGCTTGGCCACTTTAGGCCAGAGGTGACGGTTTCTTTCTTGGACAAGGTCCTTGAGTGGGTGATGGCCAACCAGGTCCAGGCACTGTTGGATGAGCCAGATTATCAGGTTCCATTTCAGTCAGTGTTCAAGCCAGATTTTGTCATGGAAACAGCTTTGGTCATGCTGTATGATGATCTGTGTCAAGAAAGACTTGGGAGTGTGGCCCTGTTGATTCTCCGAGATCTCTCAGCAGTCATTGATCATGGTATTCTTTGGGTGCAACTGAGTTGGGATTTGAGGATACTGTATTGCAGTGATTCTGCTCCTATTTGTTTGGTGCTTGAGAGTTATTTCTTGGCCTTGACCCCATGGATTGTTCAGCAGGGTCAGTCTTGTTGTTGTTGGTCGCAAAGTCGTGTCCGACCCATCGCGACCCCATGGACAACAATCCTCCAGGCCTTCCTGTCCTCCACCATCCCCCGGAGTCCACTTAAGCTCATACCAACTGCTTCAGTGACTCCATCTAGCCACCTCATCCTCTGCCATCCCCTTCTTCTTTCGCCATCTATTGTTCCCAGCATTAGGCTCTTCTCCAGGGAGTCCTTCCTTCTCATTAGGTGGCCAAAGTATTTGAGTTTCATCTTCAGGATCTGGCCTTCTAAAGAGCAGTCAGGGTTGATCTCCTCTAGGACTGACTGGTTTGATCACCTTGCGGTCCAAGGGACTCGCAGGAGACCCCCCCCAGCACCACAATACAAAGGCCTCAATCCTTCGGCGCTCAGCCTTCCATATGGTCCAACTTCCACAGCCATACATTGCAACTGGGAAAACCATAGCCTTGACTATACACACTTTTGTTGGCAGGGTGATGTCTCTGGTCAGTCTTATCCTCTTGCTATTCAACACCTACATGAAACAATGGATGTTTGGAGAGTATTACCATTTGCATTACTAATGTTACACTGAATTTATAGCTCACTTTTTTTCTTCTGAGGAACCCAAGGTAGCTTACATAGCTCCATTGTATCCTCACAACAACAACCCTGTGAGGTAGGTTAGGCTGAGAGTATGTGACTTGCTAAAAGTTGTCCAGTGAGGTTTGTGGCTTAGTGAGAACTAGAACCTGGATCTCCCAGGTCTCCAGTCCAGTTCTCTAACCAGTACACTAGTTCTCCTTTTCATATCTATCAAGTTAGGTTATGGATGTGCTAAATCACTACCTGACAATGGACTGGATGGGGGCTAATAAAGGAAGCTCCTTCCCAACAACACTGAAAAGTTATTAGTGAGTGGTTCTTCTGTCTAGATGGAAGGTGGTCAATCTGATCTAGGTGAGTTTGCATTCCCACCTAGGCTCATACATGTAGTTCTATAGGAGCAGGCTTATAGCTGGGGGTCCTTTTGAAATCATCTTTATCACTTGAGGCTTAGGTGGCTTCAGTGCCAGAAAGTGTCTTCTACCAGACTGGCTGGTGGCTTAACTATACTCCCATCAGGACAAGGATAACCTGACTTCAGTAATCTATACCTTGGTAACCTCCAAATTGGGTAATTGCAATTCTAGCGATAATTGCAAGAGAGCTGCCCTTTGAGACTCTTGAAAAGCTGCAACTTTTGTAAAATGCAGCAGCAGGATTAATAATTAGAACTAGAAGGAACATTTAAGATCAATTCCAGCCTGCTTGTACTGGCCAACTGTATGCTTCTAAGCTCCATCCAAGGTGTAGCCTATAAGGGCCTACACTGCTTGGGACTGTAGTATTTGGAATGCCTCTCCTGACCTGAATCTACCTGGACACTCTGATTCATATTCAAGGAAGCCTCAGAGGGTGGCAGCAAGGGGAAAGACTTTCTCGGTGGTAGGCCCAGATTATAGAGTGAACTCCCTACCAGAGCCTGCCTGGCACCAACTTTGCCATCTTTCTGGCAACATATTAAGACTGTTCTCTACTCCCAGGGGTTTAATGGCATGCAATGAGCCATGTAAACTGTTTGAACCAGTCTGATTCTTTAACTGACACTGTTTTAGCTCTAAAAACAATCAAAATCTACCTCATTTGCTTATTTGCTTGGAGTAATGTAGCCTGCACACTGTATTGACTACACATCAGTTGTTATACTCATTTAAATTATGTATATGGAAATTTTATGCTGCATTTTATTGCTTCTCTATTGTAGGTTGTATTTTATTGTATTTCAGTTTCATATTTTGGGAATTGCCTTACATTGCCCAGAGAGTTTGGGCTATTGGTTGGTAGAGAACTAAAATAAGTAAACATTTTAAGTAATCCCATTTTACATCCTCAAGCAATTATGTTTAACATGCGATATTGTTCAATGGACAGAACTGAGAGTCACCACTAGAGGTCAATAGAATTCTGCCACAAAGGGATACCATGATACTATTACAGTTGTATTCTTTGTATAGTTCCCTTTTCTATAAACCAAACAGAATCTGGTGAAGACATCTAGATTTGTTTATTTTAGAAAAGTGACAGAAAATAAACCAGTTCACTTTTCCCAGTACTGAAAGCCCGTGCAAACTTCAAGGTATTAAAACTCACACTGATCTCCAAGAATCTCTCTCCATGTGTTTTTTACAGCTAAGGGGGAAACCACATCAGCTTCTCATTGTATGACTCATTTAAAACTTTGTAAGCTACAATGCAAGTTAAAAAGAGAATCCTGCTTCGCCTCATTTGAATGGAGTTTTTGTCACTGGCTGATAACATGTTGCTGAATAAGGATAGATTTAAATTGTGCATGGTTCAGAAAAACTTTTAAAGGCAGTTGGAAAGAAGTCCTACAACTTGCAGCTAGTTGCAGAATGCTGGGAATTGCAGGAGCTTTTGCTGTCTATGTGTACATAAGATGGCTTCCTAAAATGCTTCAGGTGCAGAAAGCATCATGATATTTGCACATGTATGTGCTATAACATGTTGGCAAACTGCTTAAAATCATCTATAATTCAACTCATATATGACTTCAGTGAGAGTTGACTCATCACACTTGCTCAGGGATCTCTTGTCAGACCTCTTTGTTTGCTTTCCACTATATAATAAAACTATTTTCATTTATAAAGTCTTATTTTAAATTGTCCTGCCTGTTCGTACTTCTAACACCATTCCTCTGATAGTGTTTATTGTGTTTGAAAGGGTTTTGAATGTTTCTAAGGGAGCAATACTAAGCTCTCTAAGAGAGTTCTTATATAAGACCCTCTAATCTATCTTCAGGGATGAAAAGAACAGGGAGCCTTTTTGTTCCTTTCTCAGGTGAGAACAAAATTCCCTTTATAGTAAAAAAATGGGGAGGGGTGCCCAAGATTGGTCTAAATGTCAGTGTTATTTCCATCGTCCTGTTGGGAGTGTGCTTGGGAGATGGATGGGTTTGGATCCTGTGAATCCACGACTGCTTCCTCCCTGCCCACTGGCACACCCCAACATGCCCCTTTCCCCATGCTGTGAGATGGCAGTGCTGGCCTCAGAGCAGAACCCACCATGGCAGTTTTCACAGTGTCTGGGAAAGTGATAATCCAGGACTGCTTGCTAGTAATTGATATGCCACTTTGGACTAAAGGAAAACGTATACACAGGCTAAGGTTGACAGTGTTAAAAACTTTTGGATGATAATGGACTTAAGTATGAATTATACTTTTTGTCCAAATCCTGCATGGCAAATTGGTGGAAAGGCATTAGTGCAACTTGATGGTACAAATCTGTACCATAATAGTTCTGAGGAAAACTATACATTCTTTACAGTGCAGCCTTATGTATAGTTACTCAGAAGTGATCTCTGCTGTGTTCATTGATGCTTATCCCCAGGTAAATATGCACAGGATTGCAGTATTGTTGGAAGCTGTTGGGTTATGTTTCAGTGAGAGGATACTCAGTAGATGCTTGTGCACTCTTTCCAGTACTTTAGGTTCCATCAAGTCAATGCTGAAAACACATTTTTACATTTCCCTATTGTTCACATGTCCAGGTGTGCATCAACAGCATTGCCCCATCTCATCTGCCAGTTCTATATGTTCTTTTCTTTTGAAACATGTTTAAGCATGTGTCTCAAAAGTTCTTCCTCAGATAGCTCTGGACACAATTTCTATATCCTGCACTACTAATTCTGTTTCCCTTATCTTTCAGGGTATTTTTGGAGAAGGCAAGATGATTTTTATGTGTGCAGGTGGCTTCTGTGGCATAGCACCAAAAGCAGGATCTGTTCTAGCTGGCGTTTATATGATCCTGATGACCAATATGTACCTTATCTTTGAGTATGGTCACCTGAACCGGTCCATAGCTATGTTACAGAGGGTGGATCCAGAGGTGATCACTGGCCTAGTGTGGATTATCCCGTATTGCTATTATATAGCAATTGCCCTGGCACTTGTAACTTATCCCATGTGTATCTACCTTCTGTATTCCATCCAGAAGCGAAATACAATAGGACTATTTATCTACGTTACCTGGATAATCTTCTATGATATCTCCTGCTGCGTCATCATAGTTCTAACTAGCAGGGCTGCAACGATGGCGCATTTTTCCATCAGTCCTTTGGAATGGTTTGGGCTGGCTACCAGGATCCCCACAGACTGCTTTTGGCTCAGCTACGTCATGACTTTTGCACTGATGATTATTGAAGGCAAAAGCACTGGGAGGATGTCACTGCGGATGAGGCGGGTGTCAAGACACGTGTCAGAACCTCCCAAGTTCCGGTTGGGCATCAATGCCAGGAGGGTCCAATGAAAAATGTAAGATTGCTTTTCAGTGCACGTATACATACCAGGCCTGCACAATTTATGACATGAAAACTGTTGTGAAAACTCAGTGGTGTTTCGTGCGGTTTAACTTGTTCTTATTTCACTACCTTATTAAATTGACCTGATGTTCTTATGAAATACACATTTCTTATCTGTTGTATGTGGGATTATTTTTTCCTAAGCCTTTGTTTTGTATTATTGAATGTGAGAAATATGACAGCAGACTATTGGAATAGGATGAGTGCTTAGGTTCTAGCCTATAATCACAATCATGTGCCTCTAGGATTATATATTGCAACAGAGAAAGTTATGTCCTCCACTAATGCATAAAACATTATTTTGTGTGTATGTGTGTGTGTGTGTGTGTGTGTATTACATAACATAATATATGTATGTACTGTATATACCAGTGCTTAAGATGCTCCTTGAAACCAGAAACAGGCAAAAATCTTATATGCAAGTTTTTCATCATATTATATTAATCATTTTAAAAGGCTAGCTAATAAAGACAATTGTTTTAGCTAATTTTTATTAATAATCATAAAACTTCGTACTGATGCCAGGGTGGCTCATCCTGCATTGCAAGTCTTGCACATGATGGCAGTGCCAATCCTGAGTCGAGCACCCATCCAACCTTAACTGCACCGTGTTAGGCTGGCAACTGCAGCAGTAGCTGGGGAGGGAGTGTTCCCCATGCCTGTCCGTGCAGAGACACAGCTCTGCCCACATGGGCTTCCTCCCTGTCACCCAGCCCCCACTTCCGTGATGTTCATGCCTGCCATTCCCCCCAACTGATTCCAGCCAGCCAGCCCCCTTGCGGGCCACTGTTGGCCTCCAAATCAGAGAGGTAATGTGACTGTTAGCTAGAATATGGTAACATAACAGCATGAGAGTCACGAAACTTCTGGCTGACTAATATCGGTATCTATTGGCATATAAGAGCTCCTTGAAACTGAAAATAGTGAAGCAAAACTTGGGGGTTGTCTTATACACCCAACATATGAAAAACACCAGAAAAACAGCCTAAAATATCAACCTCATCTTATATGCAAGTCACCTTATATGCCTGTATATACAGGACGCAAGTATGTATTACATAACATTATTATTTGTTGCTAAAGTTAAGGAAAAACTGGCTTGCTCTCTTTTTTAGGCCAGGAATCCAAATTTCCACTGTGTTACTGAATAACATGTTTGTAGGGACTGGGAATATGCTGGGGAAAAGCTATTTATAGGAGAGGAGTACTTAACCCATGTAACAATTCCCTGCCAGCTTTTATTTTCCTCCAGAAGGATCTCATACTTGGAAAAAAAAAAAAAACTTGGTGAGGGAGGGACCATCTACAGCATATGTAAACAACCCTGGAGCCCATGAGCCACTTGAAGATCTCCACTAGTCTCCATGTGACTTGTGAAGCTGGAGGAGCTACAGGCTTTGTTCCCCCCACAGGCAACTGATTAGTCATTAGTTGTAGGGAAAAGATCACTGTTCTGCCAAAAAAGTGTTCTCGGTAGGGATTGCTGTAGGACTTAGAGGGTTTCCTCCAAGCAGTTGAGACTGCTGTTCCCCCACCAATATTGCTGTTGGGGAAGTAATGATCTTGGTGGGCTTCGGTGGGGTGGGGGCGGAAGGGATTGCATTTCCCCACTCTCCAGCAATCTCTAGACTCCAGGGGTTGTATAGTGGGAAAGTGTAAGAGGAAGCACACTTACCACCCTATCCATCACTTCTTCCCTGCAAAACCTCATCTCACTCTGCACTCAAGTTGTTCATGAAATACAGGATTGAGAAGATTGTGTTCATATACATCTAGCCGATCTATTACTCCCTGATATTACCAATGCTTATAAGCATAGGCATTAATGTGCAGAATTCAGTTATGCTTTAGTGCCCAAGACAAAGCAAAAATGCTAGAATGTTTCTGTGTCCTGTTTTGGGATCAAAAGTCCACCAATACTGCCATGTGAATTTGTGCTCAGCTATTTTGCCTGATATGTTTGTTTTGAGTGCAGTGGTGTGTGCAAGTCTTTGACGAATTAGCTTTTAAATCTTTGATAGGTTCAACTGGCAATAAATACTTCTGTTTCACAGAGTCAGCAGGAAACATTTTCTTCTATGCAAAACATTTTTCCTCCAAGGGCCAATAGATAGAAAATATTCTACCCTTGTAGGCATAGAAGTGTGAGAACAAGGATGCTTTCACACGAAGTTGATATTCTGAGTTCCTCTGACCTAGGAGAGGCAGCTGACATAGTTCTTTCTGCATTGACTGCAGGGGGGCAACATAGATTCATAGGTCTGATTCTGGAACTCTGTTTCCAGTCTCAGATATGGGGATCAAAGTATCTTGTGCACTCCCAGGCAATGTCTAGTTATGAAAAACAGACCATAAAATGAGGCAATATTGTAAAATCATCCCTTCATCGCCTACATTTTACCTTGTATCTTTATTTACATCAAAGCAAGATTAAAATGCAGGCATCTGCTTTCGTCTAAAAGGCTGTTAATCTTTTAACTAATTCAAAACACTCATTTAATCCCTCACTACACACACACACTTTTTCCCCCTCTGTGTACCACCTGTGTTTGGCAGTTTAAAATGTATGCAGAGAAGAGCAAACAAGGCCTGGTTAGGAAGAAAAAGCTCCGGAGGAGTCCAAATGCCATGTATGTTGTTTGCTTTGTGGGAAAGTGCAATGGTGGTTTAAACCCTGGCTGTTTGCCTGCCTGCTTGTTTTCCCCATTTTCCTCTTTGCTGGCCATATTTGTAGTGAACGGATAGATATTGCAGAAGCACTGTAAATTTCCCACTCTCCCTGCAGGGAGGGATATGACCTTGTAAAAGGCTGTCCCTGAAATATCCTACAGCTGGAGGATGTGGGAAGTGCAAAATAACCCTCTACTGAAGATAGCTAAATGATGGCAGCAGTGAGACACCAGGTGACGCTCTTTGCATGTGCCTGCTGGAAAGCAGTCAGTAGGTGAGGTGGTGCTTTGAATGGCTTCTTTGGTGGGGAGAAATTGCAACATAAGAGGCAATTTTGATTAAGGAGCACCTGTGGCTCAGTGCTAGAGCACTTGTTTTGCATGCAGAAGGTTCTAGGTTCAATCCCCAGCATCTCTGGGTAGAACTGAAAAACATCTTGCTCAAACCATGGACAACGGTTGCCGGTCAGTGTCAACAACACAGGGCTAGCTGCAACAATGATCTGAGCAGCTTCCTATGTTCCTGTGTCCAAGAAAAATGCCACAGACTTGAACACTGCTTTTCTTGGAGCTGATTGGTCAGTTCAAATAATCAGGAATCCATTGTCACATTTCAAAATTAAAATAAACTGCTGGAATAGCTAATTATGAATCTGAGAAGCTGGACTGAAGCATTCGCAACTTTCTCAGCAAAAAAAACAGTTTTTCTATATTTGCTGTCTGGAGATGCCTATTATTATGAATGGTCCTGATAAAACCTCAACATTTGACTATATTGATGCATAACCTCTATTGTGGTTGAGAAGCAACTGTGAAGACAGACTAGAGATAAACAGAATGCTTTCTTTTAGGCAAAGGCATCAGACAAGGGTGTATTTTATCTATCTATTCAGTCTGTAGTACAGAGAACATAAGGAAAGCTGGATTTGGATTAGAGGCAGAAAGAGTGAAAATCACTGGAAGACTCAGTAATTTAAAATATGCAGATGATACCATTTTACTGGCAGAAAGCAGCTATGAACTACATTACTCCTGATGAAAGAAGAAAGTACAAAAGCAGCTGAATGTTAAGAAAATGAAAGAAAACAAAATCATGACTACAGAATTCCAGAACTTTACATCAACAATGAAGAAATTGAAATTGTGAAAGATTGTACATATCTTGGTTCAGTCATTAATTCAAGCAGTAATTGTAGCTAAGAATTTCAAAGAAGACTGAGACTTGGAAGGGCAGCAATGAAGGAACTAGAAAAGATAATTAAGTATAAGGATGTTTCTCTGGAGACCAAGGCCAAGATCATTCATCCTATCATATTCTCAATCACAACATATGGGTGTAAAGAGAAGAAAATTGACATGAAGAAAATTGATGTGATTAAAGTTGGCGGAGAGCTTTGTGCATACCCTGGATCGACAGAAAGATGAACACATGGGTCTTAGATCAAATCAAGCCAAGTCTTTCCCTAGAAGCAAACATGGAAAAAATGAGGCTGTTATGCTTCAGGCACATCATGAGAAGGCAGGACTGACTGGAGAAGACAATCATGCTGGGGAAAGTTGAAGGCAGAAGAAGAAAAGGAAGACCAAATGAGAGATGATTAATTCCATATAGGCGGCCACAGACATGAATTTAGAACAGCTAAGCAGGGAGGTCATGGATACATTTTGGAGGACTTTCTTTCTTGGGTTGCCATAAGTCAGAATTGACTTCATGGCACAGAACAACAGCAAAGCTGCGGTGTGAAACCTGGAGCCCTTCCAATACTGTTTGACTCCACCTCTTATCAGCCTGGATGCTATGCTAACTGTGGGAGATGGGGCTGGATTCCAGCAACATCTAGAGGGTTACTGGTTTCTTACCCTGCCGTATAGCACCCAGATGTCATTTTGCCTAGCCGTTATTCTCTTTTTGTGGGAGTATCGCACTACTCCAGTGCTAGGTGTGCTATATCCTGGACTAGGAAAAACGGGCTTCACATTTCTGCCAGCTCCCCTTCCTCTCCCCTTCTGTCCTGAGCAAGTAGAATTACAGTTGTGTTTGCTGAACTATAGTTGCACAGATTTTATAACTGCCTAAGAATAGTATTGACTTTTGTAGTAATTGAGCACAGTACTAGAACACTCACCCAGCCTTTTTGTCCTTTAAATTAGAAGAAATTTAACTTTTTTTTTTCAAAATGAGTATGTTTTGTGAAATGCCTATGCAACTGCCCTGTTATTTAAAGCCAGCATCGATCCATTCCACACTAAGAAAAAACATGAAAGCTAGTGCTCCACAC